AAAGGAATGTATTATCGTTGCCTATTATTTGGTACCACATCTAAGAAAATGTCCCAAGGAAGTGTTATGAACATTTTCTCCACCCCTTCTTCCACAGCTTCTATCGTCTTAGGCCTTACATCTCCATTTCTTGTCCCTCTTGAATTAATCTTTGTATACGTTATAAGCTAAGGAGCCAGCCTCTTTCTTTAGCATCTGGTTTCCCATTTTTCCACATCACCTCTTGAAATGGCCTTAGAAGTCATTTCAGGGTAGTTAAGGACTGAAGTAGGTCAACTTTCAAAATCATAGCTTATGACCCAATTCTGAATATGACATTATTTGTAGCTAGCATAAGAGGTATCAGGGTTCAGCGAAGATGGAAGGGTGGAGCTTGACTTCCATAGAACTGACACGAAGGAGGAAGAGGCACCAGCATCATCGGTGTTGATGATCCAGGGAGGAAAGGCCATGTGAGGATGCTGGAGGAAGGTGGCCATTGGCAGTCGAGGAAGCAGTTATAGGAACCTATTTGCTTGGACATTTGACCTGGACTTCTGGACTCCACAGCTGCGAGGCAGGAGGTCCCTATTCTTTAGGTCAGCTAATATGTACCATGTTGTTCCAACAGCCCAAATGGATCGATAGAGTCCTATATTCCAAGTTTACTCCTGGAATCACTTCCGTGGGCCTGTGTCTTGACTCTCTTTCCTGGGCTGTGTGTCTCTGTCACTTCCAAATGATCTTTATGCAAGTGCAGTACAGTTTTGATTACCGAAGTTATGTTAAAACAGGAACTATGATGAGAGGAAGTTGGCGGGAGGGGAAAAAAAAGCAGGAACTATGAGAAGTCCAAGTTTTTTTTTTGTTTTTGTTTTTGTTTTTGTTTTTGTTTTGTTTTGTTTTGTTGTTGTTTTTGACAGAACTGGGGATTGAACTCAGATCCTTGCATTTGCCAGTCAAGCGCTTATCCTACTGAGCCATTTTCCTGGCCTCTCCAAGTTTATTCTTTGTATTTCATATTGGTTTATCAATTTGAGATCCTTTAAGATTCCATATCAATTTTAGGATGAAAGTTTCAATTTCTGCAAAAATATGTTGCTGAGATTTGACCACGGCTTACATTGTATCTGTAGTCCATTGTGGGCAGTATTGGTTTTTTCATAATATTAAGTTTCTAACCAATGAGCAAGGGATGGTTTTCCATTAATAGGAGTCTTCTTCCTTTCAGTAACATCTGTAGCTTTCAGGATTCATGCTTCACCTACTTGATTAAGTTTATTTCTAGATAGTTATTCTTCTCTCAGATACTATTAATGGGAGTGTTTCCTTAGGCTTACTTTTATCATTCATAATTTGTGCATCAAAAGTAACTTACTCTATTAGTTTTTGATCGTTTGAATTTGCCTATTTAATTTAAGTTTCTGTGGAATATCCTTTGACTTTTGTGTTTGTAACATTTACAAGTATTTGACTTGAAAAGAAGAGAAAACAGCGCTCTTAGCCTTGTTCTTGATCTTGACTGAAAATCTTTCAGTCTTCAACTCCTGAGGATGACCATGGTGTAGATTTCTCACATGTGGTTTTTATTGCTTTGAGGACATCACTTTCTATTAATCATCCTTTGAGTATTTTTAACGAGGAAACTGTTAAATTTTGTGAGCCACTCTTCTGCATAAATTGCAGCAAGCACAATTTTCTCCTTCTTTCTGTAAACGTTATGTAACATTAATTGACTTTTAGGTGTTGAGCTGCCCTTTGTATGATACTCTCCATTTGCACACCATTTTTGAAATGACAAAATTACAGAGATGAAAAATGAAGATGTGGGTAGCAGTGGTCTGGATTCTAGCGGTGCTGAGGAAGAGGTTGCAGGTGTGATTACGAGCGGATGGCAGGAAGCGATGTTGTGGTGCTGAAGGAGTTCTTATGTTTGTTGATCCAGGTGAAGTTTATAGAGATTTACTCATCAGAGAAAGATGACAGAACGATACAACATGGTCTTCTACCCATTCAAAGTCCCCAGCATGGGCACTATACTGTGGTGGTGTAAGTTTCAATCATTAGGAGAGAGTGGGTGAAGGATATACTGGATCCATAAACTATTTTTACAACTTTCTGTGAATCTATAGGAATTTCCAAGTAAATTTTTTTTAAAAACCTGCTAAAATTTGTCCTTTTGGTGACCTTTGTAATAAAATAGAAAACTCTTCCACAGCATACAGTAAGCTATAAGTGCTTTCAATGTACAGGCCTGTTAATCCTCTCAAAGGCCACTTTGATGAGCACTGTTATTATCGCTATTTCATAAATGGATCTCAGAGCACACAATAGTGCTGGAATGAAGGTACAGAAAGAAGCAAACTGCATCCTTTATCCATGTGATTGTTACAAATGCAGGGAATTAAAGGAAATTGCAGTAAATGTGGGATTTTCTGAATACTTCTAATATTGTAAATTATTCTACTTTGCTTATGTTACTTTGGGTGTTTGTCACCTAACAAGATTTTTTTTGGGGGGGGGCAGAACTGGGGATTGAACTCAGGTCTTTGTGCTTGTGAGGGAGGCGCTTATTCCACTAAGCCATCTCCCCAGCCCCACCTAACAAGATTTATTTTTGTTTTATAGTAAGAATGATGATGCTAACCAAGTCCTGAAATGCCTGGACCAGCTGAAATGCCACTTTACATGGGAGCTAGCAATTGGAAAGGCTGAAATATCAGATTTAGAAAGCAGAATTTTGGAAGAGATTGAATTCCTGGACACCAAGTACAATGTGGGAATTCGCAACCTACAGGCCTACGTGGAACACCTCAAGGGCCACAATGACAAAGCTCTAAAGAGCCTGGAAGATGCTGAAAGGCTGATCCAAAAAGAACATGCTGACCAGTCTGACATGAAAAGCCTGGTGACCTGGGGCAACTATGCCTGGGTGTGTTACCACTTGGGAAGGTTGGCAGATGCCAGGATGTACCTGGACAAAGTAGAAAACACTTGCAAGAAGCTTTTGAGTCCCTTCCGCTTTCAGATGGCATGCCCTGAGGTGGACTGTGAGGAAGGATGGGCCTTGCTGAAGTGTGGAGGAAAGCATTGTGAGCGGGCTTTAAAATGCTTTCAAAGTGCCTTGGAAATGGAGCCTGAAAACCCTGAGTTCAACACTGGGTATGCCATCACCGCCTATCGCCTGGAGAACTCTAACAGGTACAAGAATGAGAGAGTGTCCTCCCTGGACTCCCTGCGAAAGGCTGTGAGGCTGAATCCTGAAGATGCATACATCAAGGTCCTCCTTGCTCTGAGACTTCAGGATGAAGGGCAGGAGAAGGAAGGGAAGAAATACATTGAAGAAGTTCTGAACCTCAAATCCTCCCAGATGTACATTTTTCGCTATGTAGCCATGTTTTATCGAAAAGCACGCTGCATGGATAAAGCCATTGAACTCCTTCAAAAGGCCTTGCAGGCAATGCCCAACTCCACTGTCCTGAACCATCAGATAGGGCTTTGCTACAGAGACAAACTAGTCCAGATAAAGGTAGCCACTAACATGCAGCCTGTAGGCCGGGATAGAGAGGAGATTGACAGATATGCAGAATTAGCCATATTGCATTTTAAACTGGCTGTAAAACAAAAGCCCACATTTGATATTGTTCTTCTACACCTGGCGCTTGTTTATATTGAAGTAGGAAAGTATGACGAAGCTGAAGACAATTTTAAGAAATTGTTTTCCATGACACCAATTGAGGAAAGCACGCTACAAAAGGCACATTTCTACTATGGCAGATTTCAGGGATATCAAAAGAATTCAATCACAGATGCCATTAAGCATTATTTAAAAGCAACACAAATAGGAGAGCCATCATTTATAACAGACCAAAGTATTAATTCTTTGAAGAAATTGGCTTTAAGGAAACTTCAGAGAAATGAATTTGACAAGGAAGCCCTGAGCCTCCTAGAGTATGTCCACAAACTGGAAGGGGAAGCGCAGGCAGCTGGGGGACACCACGAGCAGGCCTGAGCCTGGCTCCACGCTCCCAGACGAGAATGCCACGGGAAGCGATGCCAACCACCTTCACTTTTCATTTGCTTTTCCATGAACTTTTATTCTGTTTGATGATTTTAAAAGCATGCATTATGTAGTTCAGTGCATTTCTCAGACCTGGTGAGGCATCATTAGCTGTATTCAGAAAATAGTGAAAAAAAGCGTGTGTGCACCTCAGGGGCGGGAACTGACCATTAAGGTGACTGCTACAGAGGAGAAAAAGGCTTGCTGAGCACATCTGTAGCAAATATAAATCTAGATTTATATACAGCAAGGTGTTAAATTCTCTATTTTATCAAGCATTTCAGGGCTTTATAAATAAATACCAAATAAGATGAATGGGAAACATGTTACTCAAACTTCATGCATCTTATAATCTAGTGAGTGAGAGAGAGAGAGAGAGATTTAACATGCAGTAATGAGAAGTCAGATTTCTCCATGAGGATGTTTCAACTTTAATTCATTGTCAAACTGTTCCAAGTCCACTGTAGTTGCTTTAGCTTACACCATTTCATTTGAATCACTATTTAAATCATTTGCTGATATTGATCCAATTAAAACATAAATGTGCAAAGCATGTGAAATGATCTGAGAGCAGACCTCACTAATGCAAAATAAACTTGTGGATGATGTTATGTGTTGTGTGAGGAATCTTCTTAGTTACTCTTTTCTCATTGCTGGGACAAAACACCCAATCCGCCATATTAAAGAAGGAAAAGTTCATTCACCCTACAGTTTGTGGAGGTTTCAGTCCAAAATCAGCTACATTCAAGGCAGAACAGCATATGGCAGAGAGTAGTAGTTCACAGATGCAGAAAAAGCCACAAGAGAAGCAGAAGGACAAGCCTGCTTCTGCCCCTTATGTTGTTTGCATGCTACCTGTCCCAGGGCAGGCATAGCACTTGCCCCTATTCCCAGCATTGGACCATGAATCAATCACAAGCTCTATATTCCACCACCTCTGAAAAGCCCAACCCCATGACTGCATGAGGCTTTGGGGAGACATCTCGACACAACCGTCACAGGAATTCCTGACCATCTCCAGGGAACACGATTTAGTTAGCAGCATGCCTCTTTCACACCCTTTCCAACTCAAGAAGACACCTGTGCTCTTCTCAGGGCTAAGAAATATGGCAGTGTAGTATAGTCTGGGTGTTTTCAAGCAAAACAACTAGTAGGAAAATTTAGTCCATAGATGCTCTTTCATCTTAATAATAGTGCCAAATTTATACAAGAGTATCTTCAAGCATTACCAAGAAGTTTCTTTAAATTAGCAGCTAAATTGTAGAACCTTGTTATTTCCATGTAAATGACTGACAGAATTCCAAGTGGAATCTTTCTTTAGACTGACCCTAAGTCAAGCCAACTATACCCCTTCCACCCATGATTGCATCAGAGCCCCAGCCCATGCCTTTGCAAACTGCTCTGCAGACACCACTGCTGTCTACAGTCTCTTGTGGACTACTGTGACCCCCAAGGTCTCCATCCTCATGATGCAGCTAGGGCTGGATCCGAATTGGGAATCAAGATATCTACTCTACTGCCCAATCTATCCCTAGTTACCTACTCCATTAGTCCATTTTCTGTTAGTATAGCAAAATACTTGTCTATTTGCCTATGTTACATTCTGCTTATAATGAAAAGAGTTCCATTTAGTTCAGAGTTTTGAAGGCTGAAGGTCCAAAGACCCTGGCAATTATCTGCCAACGCCCTGGCAGCACCAGATCACCATGGACAGCGTCACCCAGGTGCCAAAGCCAGGGAGCGATTGCATGGCAAGGCAGCAAGCTGGAGAGCAGGGATGGACAGGTTTGCCACCACTAGACTTCATCTCTTACACACCACACCACTTCTTAACACTACTATACGAAGGACCGAACTTCAGATGCCTGAAACTTCAAGGAACACAGTCAAACCTTACCCAGAGCATCCCCTATTGCTCTGTGGCCTCAGATGGGGTCTTGTTCCCAGTCAGAACAAATGTGATAACAGCCACTTTCACTCAGAAGTTCCTTGCTGAAGGGATAAGACTTCTCTGATGCGGCCCTTAAAATCTACTCTCGGACTTGGGAGATAGTTCAGCAGCGTAAGCGCCTGCCTGGCAGGTGCCGGGACTCAGGTTTGATCCCCACCACCACATGCCATGCTGGCCCCGGAATCCCAGGCACACTGTGTGGACTATGAAATGGGGCATGGTGGCCCATGCCTGTAATCCTAGCACTGGGGAGGCTGAGACAGAAGGATCACTACAGAGTCCGAACTGCATAGGAAGATCCTGTATCAACAAACAAAAACAAAAACAAAACAAAAATCTCTCCATCCAGCCTGCTTTCTGCTAAATTTCAGTACATCCCCAGCTTCTCCTGATCTGTTTTTCTTTGTTGTTCTCCTGTCTGAGGTCACTCTCACATTTCTCGCAGGCTATGTTGTGCTGATTAATTGCTCAATTAGAAATATACAATGAACAGTAATCCTCAACCAGAGCGGGGCAGCAGTTGCAAAAGGACAGGGCTTTGCCTGCCAGAGGGTTCTGGCAATGCCAAGCTTAGGTTTTAAGATGTCACACTTGTGGGTTAATAGTGCCATCTAGTGGATTTACACAAGGATGCTGCTTAAATTTCCTACAACAAAAAATCAGGCAGCCCAAAATGTCAATACAGCTATGGTGAGAAATTCACACTTGCATCATTTCTTGAAAAAATTATTGACAGGATTACTCTGTTTATTTTGGTGTCAGGAATTGAATTTAGGACATTGTCAGGCAAGCACTATGCTGCTGAGCTATAATTTCGAGAGATTATTCTGAAGGACTATTGTGAGGAATATTTACCTACCTTGTTTCAGTTTTCCACGCAGGTTTCGGGTTGGTTGTCATATTTCACTTTTTCTTCCCCTTTCCTCCAGTTATTGGGTCTAACATCTTAATGACATACATTCAAAAGATAATAAAACCAGTTCTCTCAAAAATGTACCCGGGGGCCTGGCCCTAGCTCAGTCCTTTAAGTGGCTGCTTCCACAAAACTGTCAGCCTCAGGTTGCTGTAGTTCGATCCCCACAACACTCTAGCAGGCCAAAAGTGCCCTGAAGGCATTTGAGGAGCAAAATAAATCAATAAAAATAAAAAATGTACTCAGTCCTCTCTGTTACAAAAAAAA